TGCTGCTAGACTTGTGACACAAATTAATTTAACAGCACAGAGTCAGAGGGAACCAGCTGCAACAGTGTGACAACTGCCAAAAGATAATCATATGTGTGTATGTGTGTGTGTGTGTGTGTGTGTGTGTGTGTGTGCTGTCTAGCTAGTAATTATCCAAGAGTTCCTGGTTCATAGCTGGTACCAAAATGTGTTTTTCTCTTAGTCAAGGATTTTGAAATGTTCTAAAACATTAATCTAAATGTTTGCAACAATAATGTGTTGTTGGGTTTGAACTTTGATTTGGATTGAGCGTTTCTGACTATAGAACTGGTTCAGGTACAGTTGGTGAGCACGGGGTTTTTGTACAGGTACAGTGGGTACGGAAAGTATTCAGACCCCTTTAAATTTTTCACTCTTTGTTTCATTGCAGCCATTTTCCAAAAATCAAAAAAGTTCATTTTATTTCTCAGTAATGTACACTCAGCACCCCATCTTGACAGAAAAAAACAGAAATGTAGAAATTTTTGCAAATGTATTAAAAAAGAAAAACTGAAATATCACATGGTCATAAGTATTCAGACCCTTTGCTCAGTATTTAGTAGAAGCACCCTTTTGATCTAATACAGCCATGAGTCGTTTTGGGAAAGATGCAACAAGTTTTTCACATCTGGATTTGGGTATCCTCTGCCATTCCTCCTTGCAGATCCTCTCCAGTTCTGTCAGGTTGGATGGTAAACGTTGGTGGACAGCCATTTTCAGGTCTCTCCAGAGATGCTCAATTGGGTTTAAGTCAGGGCTCTGGCTGGGCCATTCAAGAACAGCCACGGAGTTGTTGTGAAGCCACTCCTTCGTTATTTTAGCGGTGTGCTTAGGGTCATTGTCTTGTTGGAAGGTAAACCCTCGGCCCAGTCTGAGGTCCAGAGCACTCTGGAAAAGGTTTTCGTCCAGGATATCCCTGTACTTGGCCGCATTCATCTTTCCCTCGATTGCAACCAGTCGTCCTGTCCCTGCAGCTGAAAAACACCCCCACAGCATGATGCTGCCACCACCATGCTTCACTGTTGAGACTGTATTGAGCAGGTGATGAGCAGTGCCTGGTTTTCTCCACACATACCGCTTAGAATTAAGGCCAAAAAGTTCTATCTTGGTCTCATCAGACCAGAGGATCTTATTTATCACCATCTTGGAGTCCTTCAGGTGTTTTTTAGCAAACTCCATGCGGGCTTTCATGTGTCTTGCACTGAGGAGAGGCTTCCGTCGGGCCACTCTGCCATAAAGCCCCAACTGGTGGATTGCTGCAGTGATGGTTGACTTACTACAACTTTCTCCCATCTCCCGACTGCATCTCTGGAGCTCAGCCACAGTGACCTTTGGGTTCTTCTTTACCTCTCTCACCAAGGCTCTTCTCCCCCGATAGCTCACTTTGGCCGGACGGCCAGCTCTAGGAAGGGTTCTGGTCGTCCCAAACGTCTTCCATTTGAGGATTATGGAGGCCACTGTGCTCTTAGGAACCTTAAGTGCACCTTGGCCAGATCTGTGCCTTGCCACAATTCTGTCTCTGAGCTCTTCAGGCAGTTCCTTTGACCTCATGATTCTCATTTGCTCTGACATGCACTGTGAGCTGTAAGGTCTTATATAGACAGGTGTGTGGCTTTCCTAATCAAGTCCAATCAGTATAATCAAACACAGCTGGACTCAAATGAAGGTGTAGAACCATCTCAAGGATGATCAGAAGAAATAGACAGCACCTGAGTTAAATATGAGTGTCACGGCAAAGGGTCTGAATACTTATGACCATGTGATATTTCAGTTTTTTCTTTTTTAATAAATTTGCAAAAATTTCTACATTTCTGTTTTTTTCTGTCAAGATGGGGTGCTGAGTGTACATTACTGAGAAATAAAATGAACTTTTTTGATTTTTGGAAAATGGCTGCAATGAAACAAAGAGTGAAAAATTTAAAGGGGTCTGAATACTTTCCATACCCACTGTAGGAAGCTTGGATCCTGACAAAGAATTGGATTTTGTGTCAGGTTTGGACAGTTTTATTGTGTAAAGCTTCAGGCTGGGGTAAGGTTTGGGTTCAGTTATGTTCAAATATATATTATTAAAAAAATATAGTTTCAGAACTTGGGTTGGGTTTTGGGTCTTAAATTCGGTAGTACCAGTCGGGTTGAATAGTCTGGTCTCAGGAAAACAAAAAGTGGATCAACTGTCATATTGGGCTATCTGGATAAAACTGACTTGACTTGATGAAAGAGTAGCGTGGTGTGTGTTGAGTGGACACTTCTCATCATTGTTTTTTCCTACAGAATCTTTGCACAAAGCCACAGGGCTGTATAGATTGAATATATGCTACACTGATCCCAGCTGTCTTCCCCTAAAGAACCAGCCGTGAGGATATCACCAAAGAGTCAGCAGGTTCCCACCGTTAGGTTCAACTGTACGAAAACAGGCAGATAAACAGCTTGGGAAACAGTATTGATCAGACTTCTCTTTATGTGACCTGTGGCAGTAATCTGAGCTGGAATTAACAGGCTATTCTACCATCATCCATCCCTATTAGTCACTGATAACTAATCCCTGTGGTGAAGGGACTCAGTGCTGTCGATGTGTGTCAGCTTAGGAGATACCTAGGAACTAAACACACATCCAGTTAACAGTGTAATCTATTGTAACTCTTTAACCTTTTGCTGCTGCATGGATGGAGGTAAACCAAAGATAGAGTTAATTATATTTTTCTGGAATTGAAAGAATGACTGTTCTGCAGATTGATTGTACTGCTGCTCAGGGTGTGTTCATGCCAAGCCTGTTCTAAGAGATTTATTTAAACTCCAGCGCACCACGCCTGTGGTTTGACCAGGTAAACAATGTCAAATACAGGTGGCACTAAACAACCACACTGCCTGTAAACGCGGATCTCAGTTTTCTTAGCATTTTTTTTCTTCTTTCTTCTTCTTTTTATCCAAGAATCCCATAGGGTCGGAACAGGATGCCAGCACAAATTACTTTGTGTTGTACTGATCAGGATGGATCAGGAAAACAGACTGCAGATGCATTTTTAGTACATAATTCAGAACATAATTTATACTAGAAGCCTCACGTTTGATCATTTGACCGACTTCCTACCGGTTCTGGTAGGATAGCAGGACAATTCCATTATGTTGTCACAATCAGGCTGAATTGCAAAAAGCCAGCTCCAGAAGTCGACAAGAAAAATAAATAATTTATGTTTTCCTTTTTTTCTGCCAAAGTCATTTCACTGTGGAGTGAAGTGTGACTATTTGATCGAGAGACAATTGGGACACGATCGGGACAAGACTGGGACAGGATAAGGTCACAGGACCAGGAGGGCACAGGAAACCGATGGTCAGGACTGGAAAGGATGGGAAGTTCCGGTGTGTCTCCCCCTAAACTCGACGCAATAAAAGAAAACAATGCCAAAGCACAAATGCCCCAACCCAGTGAGATGATCAATCACCAAAACAGAAGTTATTTAAAAGTCCATGTAACCTTTGTTCCCTGCATCACTTGTAATTGAAACCCCTGCTGCAGAGAGATATTAGGTAGAGAACCAGCTCTACATGTGAACCACCACTGTATAATTACTGTACATGTTTACAGGCTGATGCCCACATGTGGTCACTTCATTTCCTGGGATTTTTTTCTTATATGCCACTTTTGTAAAGCACTTTGTGGCTTATCCTTGTGAAAAAGCGCTATAAAAATAAAGTGTGCTTACTTACTTTACTTCTTATTTTCTTTCAAATTCAATTCTCGCTCCACACACACACACACACACACACACGCTGTTTATCAGGAGCAGCTTGCCCCTACATGTGGAGACCAGCTGTCATCACACGCAGGTAGAGATCTAAAATGAATTTTCATGCTCACGTCCACTCACACATCCAGCCAACATTCTGCAAAAGTTAAAAGGTCAGCCTTCTGCAAAGAGGGGAGACAAAGTCCCAGACAAACGATGGCCCTTCGATTGCACTTTACAGCCGTGTGCCAATGAATTTCGCCTTCCGTCTCGACTCCCAGACAAACTGCAGCACTCTCATTAACAGCTCCAGCAGTGCTGCAGAGCACAGATCCATAGAAACCATCCCTGCTTTCTGTTTTGAGGAGCTGGATTACGAAGGATTAGGAGCCTGATAAGAACTATATAGTGTAGTGGCTATATGTGAATAAGAGTTCATCTGGACAGAAAAACAAACTTTTTAGGAGGCGCATTGTCATAAATCTTAATTTCAGTCATCTCTGGATAGTATGGTGCTAGTACCGATGAGGTGACCCCTAAGGTTCCTTGAAAAAGACCTGCCGTGTCCAAAATGTGATCTCATAACCTTAGTACTAAGCTTCTTCATTCACACATAAGACTGACCACAGATTGTTGTTATTAACTAGCGAACACACAAACATTCAAACATGTATGTAGATGTGCCTCCATCTAGAATTTGGATTTTATCCATTATGACATTTTATTTACAACTACAGCCCAAACTCAGAAGGTCTTTGTGTCGGCTGAAGCATTACATGTATGCATTACAGTGCAGTTCTCCTGCTACAGGACTTGACAGGACACAGGCCTGAAATGAACACCTGCCTTGTGTTGCATTTGCTGAATCCTCCTCAGGGACAAAGCCAGGTGTGACAGCAGCCCGCCAGGAGCCAGGCCTGCTGTAATACACCACAACAATGCCTCTTTAAACCAGGACCAGCAACATGATGAAAAGAGCCACCAAACCCACTGTGGGCGTTTCTGCATCCTGTCTAATTAGCCCACATGACATTCATTTTCACAGGGACAAATTTGAGGTTATTGTAACACATTTTAAATGCATAATATAGCCTACACATTTTACACGGGGGGGTGGGGTTGTGTGAATTAGGGCAGAGCTACCAAAGACTCAGCATTGATCTACACAGCTCATACGAATCCCTACAGGAATATTTAAAGTTAGCGTTATTGGGACTAGACTGGATCCCGTGCAACCTACAATGATAATGGTCTTACCAGTGCTGCTCATGGTGCCAGTCAGATGTGTCCTCCCGTCAGATGATGCACAGTAAATAAGCCACTATCCACACTGACAGTACATGGATGGTGCCTCGGTGCCAGGCAGCAGAATGAATGCAGGCAAGTGTTCGCCCGGGAGTGCTGCAGAGATCCGGGCTGGCCCTGGCTGCTGAGGCCGCAGAGATGTCCCGACACAGCCGCACTGAGAAGACAATGTCCTGCACACACTGCAGCGCTGCGCTGCCTCTGTACGGAGGACGGTGCAGGTTGGGTGTGGGCGCACAGAGGAGAAACGCCACAACAGTTAAGCTGGATGGAAGAGTAAGTCAAGTTTCCGGTGTGACATTTCAAAATAAAAGCCGAGTCCGGCAACTCTCTGAGGATATTTTAGGCATCTGCGCAGCAAAATCAGTTCTCCCCTTCTATTGTTTTAGTGTTAAGTTTTCCCTATCTGGTCAAACTTATTTAGGCAACGTCTGGGAATTATAAATATCAATACCACCAAGCCAATTATGTACCCTATTTAGAACTGTGTTAAGTAAAGTAAAAATAAAGAATATTCATACTTTTATTTGGAAGAAATTCCCATCCTTGGTCATATTCAATCAAATTAAATATGAAAACAGATATCAAATGATATCAAGCCTTAAGATCCCCAAACCAACCAATAGCTACTCCTATGGCAATTCAATTGAAGTGATTCACTTAATAAGTGACAGGTGATCGCTAGTTAATGAGCTCAGAATGGAAATGTGAACATCTAACTTTCCATGAAAAATGTGCATCTCCATCTGCCAAGGAAGAGCAAATAGCTTCAGAGCAGCTTCATGAGATTTACTAGTCAGATGGATTTAATCTACATTTTAAAACAGGGCTGTTTAGCAAAATGGGCTCAAAACAATAGGTAATGATGTAATAAGTGACTTTTTTATATTTTACTATAGTGGCGTAAATTGTCAAACAATCAAATAACCCAAACCAACTGACATGCAATAGCCTAAAATTGAACATTTTGGGCCCCTGGGGCATTTTGCTTGCTAATCCAGCCTTGATCACAATTTCTTTTCCAGCTAAAATTAATATATATAACGTACAATATACACCTATATGCACCTGCATGGTGTATATGCTTTCAGTTACAGAGCTGCAAAACTGAATACACAATCGCACATATAGGCCTACTGATTTGGAAAAACTAATGTGAATCCACTAAATATGCATCATTACCTGTGGCTTAGGCAATTATCATTACTAGCAAAATCAAAAATAAGAAATCAGTTAGAGTTAAGAGATTGCTGTTACCTTCCACACAAGCTAACGTTTCCATTCCACAACCTTAATGTTTTTACTTTGGAGGAATGATTTCAACGCTTCCTGTCTAATGTTAGGTAACAGTAACATCCCGTCTGTGTTTTGATTCAGCATCCAGCAGACTGCTCCCGAACAGAGCATCCACTGCGCTGGTGGCGCAGCATATGTGGGAATTGTAGTATTTAAGAAAGAAAACACCCATTCTCATGAGCAGAGTGCTGCAGACTTTGGACTACAAGACCGTCTAATGTAAAGAAAGTGCATTGTGAAAGAGACTGGCTGTGACAGAACTGCAGTTTCAACTGGGTCAGTGTTTTTGTGTTGTTTTGTTTTTAAAACAAGTGAGGAAGAAAATGACAGCGCTGAATAACACAGAACAGAGCTAGGCTATATCACTATTATTTTCTTTGATTTCAAGCACTTTCTATCAATTGGGGCATGGATAAAGCTTCTCCAAGGAAAACATGGAATCCACAATAAAACACAAATAGTTATAGAAATTCAAATGTAATGATAATAATAATATGCATATCCCCAAACACAACATAATGCACCGTTTGGTTGAAATTAAAGCGCTGACAGAATCTGGCTCTGATTTATGGCCAATTAGCTGTTACTGCGACAACAAGCTCGTGACGTCTTATCCGCGCGACAAGAAACGTTAGGACGTCCACCTGTTTAGGCTGGAGTCTCGTGTTAAAAAGTTTAGTGGAACGTTCACTAACTGTGTAACCTTACCGGCACCGATATGGCCGAGGCAAACGACGACAGTTTTGGAATAGAGGTCATTCTTCCAGACGGCGATAAACCAGCGCCATGTTGTCTGCACGGTAAGTAACAGTTAATTTAAGGTTACTGGACATCCGTAGTGGTTAGACTGTCATAAACGCAACACCAAACTGCGTTAGGAAAGTCTGTAGCTCAAAGTTGCTTTGCGTTTTTATGCATGTAAACTCTTGAGACATTTATATTCACGATATTATACGAATGAGTAATATATTTTAATATATTCGGCGCACAGATGCAACGCAGAACAGCAAGTGTCGCAGTAAAATATCAACTGAAATTGCGTTACGCTCTAAGCCATCCGGGTCTGACGTTAAGTCAACGTTATTGTGACAGAAGTACGTTAGTGGGAATAAAATATCTACCTAATATTTACCTATGTTGCAAATGCATTCTCGCCTTTTAACCGCCTAACCCCGTAAATGTCTACAAATGAACGTTATGCTGTGAGTGTTTGTTTGTGTTGTGTAAATTACAACTGTTCTCAGTGTCGGGGAAGGACCAGAGCAGTTTCTAAACGAATAACAACACTTTCTCATGTGTTTTGCCAGGTCCAGCCTTGTTATTTGAGAAAGTGAGCAAAGGAGGAGAGAAAGGCAGGAGGTTTTATGCTTGCTCGGCCAGTAGAGACAGAAAAGACTGCAACTTTTTCCAGTGGGAAGATGAAAAGGTAGGCTGGCTGGAATTCTAATTGTCACTCACAACAACATTTCTGATACCCGATTGATCCTCTGAACTCTGACATTTTAATTAATTTGCTTTGCAGGTGTCGGAGGCCAGGCGTTTGGCCAGAGAAGCAGAGAACCAGTCAAAGAGACCCCCGTTCACCCATCAGGAGTACTGTAGCAGGTAAGAGGTCTGCAGCCCGTCAGGAAGCCAGGAAGTATACTAAGGCAACACATATTATCTACATGGTTTGCTTTTATTGTCTCTATAGACAACATTATGAGCTTGATTTACCATAAGCAGACTTTCAACAGGTTTAAATGGTTGAAATGTTAAGTTGCCTTTCGAAAAGTGAGCCTATTAACAGGCAGATCCTGAAAGGTCTGTGATTTGTATCTCAGGTTTAGAAAGTTTGTCTCCCTCCCACTGGATGAGAAGAAGTTCTGCCAGGACTGCCAGATGCTGCTCCTGCCGGGAGAGCTCGAAGCCCACTCCTCTCACAGATCCACGGCCGTCACCGCGGCCCAGCTGAGGAGGCCCAGCGCGCTGCTGCGTCCCCTGGACAACAAGAAGAGCAACGCCCAGTACCTGTTCACTGACCGCAGCTCCCACTTTCTGCTGGACACTCTGGCTGGTCTGGGATACAGGAAGTTGCTGTGTGTGGGCACGCCCAGGTGAGGGAGATTAATGAATTTGACGTTGCTGATAGAAGAACATTTGTTTAAATGATGGCCGGCCATCTTGTCTTAAAGGGTCAGTTCACCCAGATCTCTCTTTCCACCAGTACTATCTAGCTAAGTGTTTTGTTCTTTCTTTTGGTCGGGGTTGAGTTTTAGAGTTTCATATGTGTCGCTCAAAGACTTGACAAATAGGTAGTAGTGCTGATGAGGCCGGATGACATCACCAAAACTGCCCAATCAATAAGTCTATGACTTTGTTGATGTCAGCTGTTGTGACAGGAAACAGGAAAGAGACAAGAACAAAAAGTGATGTGTGACTAGTGATGCACTTTGACCCCCGACCTGCAGGTTCGGGTAAGCTTACTGGACGGCATTGTCTGCAGTAGTTCACCTTCTCTTCCCCTCTCTCTGCCACGCTCTCAAATACAGAGAGCTCTCTAACTGCTACAGCCGCAGGATCAGCACCCAGGAGAGGAGAGGAGTCAGTCCTGACAGTTGATCTAGGCCCTGCTATAATGTATAAAGCTGGAGGTTTTGGGGTCGAGTTTGGCTGGTGTATTAATGCTTATTTTTGCGGGGTCAGTGGTGCGGACTGGCTCTCATAACGGTGAAAGCGACCCATGAAAACGAGGAAAAATGGCCTTTTAAGAAATTAAATTCGTTTGACCTGTTATGGTCTAAATGCAAGTTTGGAGGGGGTTTTTTCACCATAGCAACGATAACATTTTAGAGAAAATACACAATACTTCTAATATAACTTTAATAAATTTGTCTAGTGTCACCTACAGTCACAAAATGGTCAACTGAGAATTTAAACACTGTTAGGAATCCGTTTTTATTTTATATTCAGTCAGTGATTGTTGTTGTTTGTGCCAGACTCCAGGAGCTGATCAAGTTGCGAAACCTGGAGCAGAAACATGAGCCAATGAAGAGTCTACTGCTGGACATTGACTTCAGGTTAGTGTGTTCTCATTTAATGGCATATATACATGGAAGGAAAGGTCTGCACTAGGGGTCTAACGGTACATGTATTCATACCGAACCGATTTGAAACGGATGTGTGCGGAACATATGTCAGTTCTGAGTTTCCACACGAACATGGTGGACCAAATCTCCGCCTAGCACTTCAGCCAAAACGTCTGCTTCAGCCCTGCCTCTCGCTAGCTAGCTTCATGGCCAGTGCAGAGAAGCCAGAGCTTCAATACCTTCCCAGATCATTAAGGTCTCCTGTTTGGAAACACTTGGGATTCCTAGTGAAATACAAAAGAAAGCAGTGTGCTGACACGACTCAGGAGTGATCGGGTATGTTTCTGGCATCACGTCAAACATGCATTCACTCATTTGAAATGGTACCACACGAATGTGAACATCACTACTACAAGGGAAAAAAAGAGAGTGAAGTGCAGTTAAACAGACTTTAGAGTGCACTTCACTTCCGACTTCGGAAAAGATATTAATTATGTTTTTTTTTTAATCTGACCAGGCCTACAAGTTGGGATCGATAAAGCTGCACTGCGATCCAGTTATTTTATTATATTGTTTTGAAAATATTTTATTTAGTGGAGAACTTGATAGTACTTTGTGTGTGTGTGTGTTTGTATAAAATTAACTTCTTAAGGTCCTTTTAGGACACTTTGCTGTTTGAACGCCACGTGTTTTTGCTGAATCTCAAGAAATGGTACTTTTACTAAGTGTAATAATATATTAACGATTTTTAACGTTCATAAAATATATACTGATCATATAACACTATTCATGAAACCCAAAAAAGAATAGTATAGTGTTTAAAAGCAGAACTTTAATGCATTTTCATACAATTCGGCAGGCATGCAAAATTTGGCATAACACCTGTGACAGACGACTGCTACCCCCTCCCCTGCCACAGTTACGCTGTCAATCTGTGGGAAATGCTGTATAATGAGAGCGATATATAGATATATTTTATTATGTTAACTTTAAGTTTGTTTAAACTAATTTTAAAAGTCCAAAATAAACAACCAGCAAATTCATGTTAGCATTTTTTCCATTTACTGTACCAAAAATAAACCGAACCGTGACTTCAAAACCGATGTACATAACGAACCGTGAATTGTCTGCACACATCATCATTTGTAGGGGTCTGCCATATGATATGATTCACCATATATCCATCCATCCATCATCAACCGCTTACCCTGCGTACAGAGTCGCGGGGGGCTGGAGCCAATCCAGCTGACATCGGGCGAAAGGCGGGGTACACCCTGGACAGGTCGCCAGTTCATCGCAGGGCCACACATAGACGAACAACCACTCACACTCACATCTAAAGGCAATTTAGGGTCACCAATTAACCTTGTCCACATGTCTTTGGACGGTGGAGCACCCAGAGAGAACCCACGCAACACGGGGAGAACATGCAAACTCAACATAGAAAGGCCGGGGCAACCTTCTTGCTATGAGGCGACAGTGCTAACCACTGCACCACCGTGCCGCCTATCATATATCCATATCATTTTTAATGATATACATAAGAGCAGGTGTACAACAAACCATGGTAATATGTAAGAAGTGCAAGCAGACTACAACAGCAAAGTGGGCAATGCAACAAACTTTCACCACCTCAAGCAGAAGCACCCGGTTGAGCATAGGGCTATGCAATTTATCAAATTTTATTTAGGCTTCCAACAATTGTGAAAGCAGGATAATGGAGATCAAACAATTATAGTGCTGCATTCTGTTTTGCAGTGATGCTCTGGTTTTGTCTCGTTATAAATCCAGCGCACCCCTTTCCTATACAGCGGTGGTTCTGCCCCATCCTAGCTCAAGACATTCAGATAGAGTGCACATGCCTGTCTGTGGTGTGTGCCTGCAGTATCACAGAGTGTTGAGGTGACAGAGTTCCACGTGATTGGGCCATATCTGCTTCTCTGGGGGTCTCAGGAAGCGTATAGCGGGGTACAGGGGCTCGGTGAAATGTTGATGAGCCCTGTCAAATACCGGCGTCACGGCTGCAGAGAACCTCTGCAGGACAACCATGGTGTCCGCGTCGTAGAACATCAGCTGGCCCTTGTCATAATTCACCCACACTCCGACCTTTCCCAGCGGCGTTTGCCCGCCCTGGCACGCCATACGCCGGTCGTTGTGCCAAGCAGAAAGATGGCCGTTACGAAGCTCCACGCACCACGAGTTCCTGTTGCGGCCCAATTTGGCACCCTTGTCTCGGCCCTTCCTCACCAGGCTGGCGTAAGCCACGCCCACAGCCCAGGCAGAGGAGCAGCGGACGTTGACCTCCCAGTAACTCTGAGCGGCTGTGACAGGAGCCAAGCCCAGGGCGCAGCAGACCTTATCAAACTGAAGGGGATGCTCCGGGGCTGAATGGGCAGAGCCTGAGAAGGACATGCTCCGCCCCTCTGGGGTCACCGTCACCTGGCTATGGCACGTCTGCCTGTCAATCACCATGGGGGATGAATCTGAAATCAAACACAGAATCCTTATATTTGTAGATGACATTTTGACCTTTGCCACACCTCAAAACAATAAATAAATAAAGCTAGACACTTAGATTATTCTAACCTGACGTTACTCACAGTGACACCCTGCTGCCCAGACAGAGTTAGCTGGTGGAAGGGATTGGTATGATGTAGAAATAACGTACCTAACAGAAGAGTCTTCCTCTGTAGCTGAGCTTTCAGTAGTTTGCAGAGGGAGGATAAACTTTTAAGGAGCTTTTCAAATCTCTCCTCATCCAGTCGGATTTCCTTCTCAGAGGCCTCGGGCTTCTTAGAGCTGGAAGAGTGATCACATAGATTATAACGAAACAGAGTTGTGAAACAGAGCTGAAAACTTTACCTCTGATGGTGCAGTGTTTCACCTCAGATTCACAGATTGGGCCTTTAGGAAGAGACAAACAGAGGTAGTGATTAAAAGCCTGTACAGTTACTGGATGTTTAAACAGTGTTAGTGCGCAGCTGTTGAAGCGGACCTTCGCGTCGTGCTCAGTCGCTGGGCTCTTGCTCAGCGCTCTCTGGATGCTGCTGATGCTCTTAGTGACCTGGTCCTGGTGTTTTTTCCAGTCCCTAAGAACCTGGTCCAGTTTGGTCCTGGTCCGTTTCAGGTCCAGCTCCAGGGAGTCGATGACAGCCTGCTCGTCATGTTTCAGGACACATCGCATGTTCTCGAAGCGCTCTCGAGCCTGCTGCTTCATCACCTCTGTGCTCCTCTTCAGGGAGGAACATGGAGCGCATGAAGGCCAGATACACACCAAAGGATTTTATTTACTGTATGTATGACTGCAAACACCGACCTGTTTGCAGTCTTCCTTGATAGTGGTCTGATGTGTGTTTGGTTGTGTGAGGAACTGGTCCCATACTTACACACAGATCTGCCTTGCGTTTCTTCAGAGACTGGATGTGAGCCTCAGTCTTGGATCTCTCAGCCTTCAGCTCCTCCACACGTCTGGATAGCTGCTCCTGCAAGGTAGAGAGTTACAGCCAGTTAGCCAGAACACGTGAGAGATTAGTGAAAGGCTAACAGTAGGCCTGCAACTGACACTTAATTTCATGTTTGGATATAGACCATCTCCTTTGTCTTTTGTGTTTCACACATGTACACCCAGTTACAGTGTTTTTACATCAGCGCGGTTTAATACCAGCGGCGTGCTCTGGCTCAAGAAGATGTGAACCTCATTGGCCTGTCTCTTTACATCCTCACTTGAAGTACTTAGAACAATTCATCTCTGACTTGGTCTGTACTGTTGAGAAAATATCCCGGCGCGTGCGCTTCACCACGCTCTCGTTTACCTCAGAGAGCTGTGCAGCTTTGGCTATCTTCCTCTGTAGTTTTGGAGAACGTGGGAACGGCTGAACAACCCCGTCACCGCTGGGGCCCAGTGGGGTGAAGCTCGGGCCGTCCCGCAGTACACCGTGGCTGTCTGCAGAGGGCGGCGCCAGACCACTCTGTGCTGACTGAGCCTCTGACGCCTGTCCATTACCAACAGATAATGCCTCTCTTTCTGCCATTTCTGAGATGTGAACAAAACGACACACACACACACACACACACACACACACACACACACACACACACACACACACACACACACACACACACACACACATACATATTAAACCTCTGCCTGAGAGATTTCCCCCTTTTTACTCAGTTTAAAGTATTTTCTGTGGATTTGCTTTAGCTGTAGAGTAACCAGTCTGTTCGGAATCCATGCCAAGTTTTTTTGCAAAAACCCTGTCCAGGACATGGGCTCATTTCCTCCGCAGATTTATCGTTAGTCGTTTTAGCAGCTTTCTAAGACAGTTTCCTTATTAGTGGAGAATCAACCTTTAGGACTCCACATGCTGTAAGAGCAGTATATCTGTAATGCATAGTCAAATGCAGACTAAATAATATTAAGCATTAATAAATAGCAGTTCTTACCCGAGGTCTCTTGGTGCAGTGTCTCTGCAGTTTGTTTCTGTAAAGAATGTGCTGGGTAGAAGAGCAGAGAGGGTGTGTTCCTGTGTTACAAGCTTCAGCCTGCAGACACCTCATCGTTACCTGGATACACACCCCAGGATCCACTCAGTGTTGGCCACCATTGTGTGTTGTATGTACAGTAGATAGGTTTAAACTTGCTCTTGTTTTCTAGCCAGCTGTTATTAGGCAAAGGACACAGAAGCATTAGAGACAATCTGTTTGCATTTGAAGGTTGTCTGAATGTAGAATCTTTGAATAAATGCTGACTAACATGATGTCTTCATAATGTTTCAGGTACGCTCAGTTCTACAACCAGGATGAATTCTGTCACTACAACATGTTCAACCATCACTTTTTTGATGGAGAGGTAAGAGTTATAAAAACATCTCTTTTTACATGTTTTATTTCCAGTTCTCTATAATAAGGATCTGTCTCTTGTCAGGCTTCCAGTGCCTCTGTGCAGGCCTTCCTCAGAGAGTGTGACGGGGAGAAGGTGGTGATGGTGGCTGACCCTCCGTTCGGTGGCCTGGTGAAACCTCTGGCCAATAGTTTCTCTCTGATCTCGCAGACATGGAGGAAGCTGCAGAGTGCTGGTTAGTGTCATTGTGGAGGTTCACGTCCTTTTTATATTTGTCAGATATTTTGTATGACTGCTCAGTTCCCTGGCATATTTAGTTCTAGTCTTTGCTGTTCCACAAGAGGAAGTTTACTGGGGGCAGTAGGAAGCCCGCAACCACAGATCCATACCCCATGGCTCCGCTGACGAGAGCAGTGAACCAAACAGTAAAGCTGTGGGCCATAAAACAATAAACTGAAAGAGGCTAAAACACTGTAGAGATGAGGGTTTGTCACTACAAGTGGCCCCTTTTTACTTTACACATTTGATCCATTGTTCATATGAAAATGTTGATTAAAGGTCCAGTGTGTAATATTTAGGAGGATCTATTGACAGAAATGCAATATAATATCCATAACTATGTTTTCAGTGGTGTATAAAGACTTTACATAATAAACCTTTGTTTTTATTACCTTAGAATGAGACATTTCTGTCTACATACACCACGGGTCCTCTTACACGTTTCTACAGTAGCCCAAATGGACAAACTGCTCTTCAGAGTGCGTTTCGTCACTATGTTGAATATGTACGACAAAGAAGGGAGAAGAAGTAGTCTGGTTTATTAGAAGTAACTAGAGAAGTGAAATTTGGACAAATGAAGGCCCACACATTTTATTTCGCACGAGCGGTCGGAGCATGTCGCCAACCGTAGCTTTTCCTACGCGCTTGCAAAGGGAGGGGTGAGCAAGTCGTTGGTTACAATTAGCAACACTCACCACTAGATGCCAGTAAAACGTTCACACTGAACCTTTAATGCAGCTTTAACCTGTCATACCAGCAACTTGCATCAAAAAACAAAATATATGAATGATTCTGCTACTTCAATTTTAAATTAGGAACCCCAAGTCCGGTGTTTGAAGCTATCGTCCATGTGTTTCTGTGTGCAGACAGCAGTAACGCTGACATGCCCATGATGTGGATCTTCCCATATTTCTTTGAGCCTCGCATCCTGGAGTGTTTCCCTTCATTCACCATGCTGGACTACCAGGTATACTGAGAGTGCATAACTTTCAGCCATTGATCAAGAAATTATTACGAGATTGAAGAGCTTTAGAGATTTACTGCAGCAGAGTGTCTGTGAGATTTAATTGTAAATCTCCAGCAACTTATTTTTCATTTTGATTCCTGATCCACAGACTACAATGTCCCAGTGAAATAAATCAGCAGAATAAGCGTCAAGAAAGCATGACAGTGGTTGCACATGACCAAAACTGAAGCTGAATACACCTTTTTCACAGCAGATGGGTTGACTTGTCAAACACAGATGGAACCAACAACATAATTAAATGCATTGTAATAATTGATATCAGTGAATGAACCCGCTTTTGTTAGTGATAATAGTAACAGCTGAGTTTTTGTGTTTTATACTTTTTTTGTGCATGTAATAGTTTTGCAAAGTGAAAAAGCCCAAAGTCCTTCCCAAAAGGAGTTCCCATCTCCCGCAGAAAACACTGCTCCTGAACTGCCTGAAGACAGCTAGATATTAGTCCAGCCTTTACTTCCATAACCTCTCTGCATCACTTTCTAACACGCGTCACAATGCTCGCCTAGTCCCCACACCCTCAAAAACACTGGTGGAGAAACACACTGAGCTGCAGCACACACAGTGACAACACGTCCGTCCACTGTCGCCCCATCACCCCCACCCTCCCTACCGAACCTTAGATACCAGTGGACAGTTAAAACGTTATGAATGAAAGATAAATTTGTTACAGATTAATAACTTCACACTGTGAAACTCTTGCTTTAGTCTAGGTTACAAAGCTGTTTGGGAACGTGTACATGATCATGTTCACATATCGGCAGGAGCAGCTTTGTTTTGAATCGCACTACCTTGCTTGTCAGGACATGCCCCACTCTGCTTCTGATTGGCTAGTAGTCCTTTTCATAGGTACTGCACATATGCATCTCCCAACAAAGATATAGAAGTGAGATGCTTCACTCCGTAGCTAAAACAGAGCGCTCAACACACAAGGTGGAAAGGGGAGCTGCAGCAATGTGCAGTATGATTTTTTGAAAATGAAACCATGTTAAACCTGTTCTGGTACAACCCCGAAATGATGAACCTGAAAATGAGCGTAATATGGTGTAACGCTCGTTGGGCGGGAGCGGTAGCACAGTGATTCATAGATGAATGTGACGACCAGCAGTGGATTTCTGTGATTAGACTATAAGGTACAGGCTGTGCTTCTTTTAGAGGCTACATGTTTCCTTGTGGACTATAAACAATAAATATTTGTTTGTTTCCAACCAGGTGGATTATGACAACCATCCTCTGTATAAACACGGGAAGACTGGCAGGAAGCAGTCTCCTGTCAGACTCTTCACTAATATTCCACCCAGAGAAGTTGTCCTGCCCAAAGAGGAGGGCTACAGGTATCAACACAGCTCTGATCTAGAGCCTGACCGACATATCGGCTGAAATAATCGCCTGACACATATATCACTGTCAATCTATTTGATACATGGCAACAATGAAATGCCATGTTTGAGGTAACATAGAAATAGTGTCACCATTTGTGTAATGTGACCAAGATATGTACTAACACAATTCTGTAGCAATCAAGGTTATTGGGTCTTTGTTATACTTGTTTGGTTATAGAAACAGAACATCAGTTTTCATTTATTTACTGTGGCAGCGTCAGACGCTCAGGATCTGCTTTGAAAATGTTTAGGAACCAATACAAAGAAAATTAGGCATTTTTTTTGTAAATACATCTGGCAAATCTATTTGAAATAGCATGCACTGATACTCGAGAGTAGCATTAATCTACATGTAGCAGCATCCTTCTCATATTCAAATGGTTTTAGAATTATATCGTGTGTGTGTTGTTGTAAATTGTTCATTACTGTGACAGTACAATACCATTAGCTTCATTTGTTATATGAAAATGATATGTTTTTGATACCTTTGAGGAAGATTGTTCATTAAGCAAAATTAGCCAAATTTCTTAGACACAACAGCGTTAAATGTATTAACTAGGGCTGCATTAGGCCAAAAATGTTATCACGATAAAAAGTTTCATATCTTTCGATATCGATAATTATCACAATAAGTATGAAATCGTTATTTTTTTCCAGTTTAAAGGCAGATTTTGGCTCCTGAGTGAAAGTTGAAGAAACCTGATGGTAAATTGTGGTTTAAACTCTTCTTTATGGTCAGAACTCGATGCCAAACACTTTACAAAACTGAGGTAGAACATTCAAAACAACTATGATAAAATCTTTGTCAACATAAAATTAAAATAAAATAGTAGTGAATTAAGTGATACATTTATTAAATATTAATTGAACATTTGTTAAATTGGCATAATAAGTGTTGTTTTATTGTCTAGCCCTAGCTTCAGCTGTTGATTATTTTAGCTGTTAATCGAGTAATCGCTTAAGAAATACTTTTTTTTTTTTTTTTTTTTTTTAAGAAAAATAGTAAATATGCAAAAGAGAAAATCAGACGCGTATCTTTAAATGAACATTCTCAAAAGAAAAATCTTGTTGTGCAACAGTAATAATCATCCATGCAAAACACTGTGCTGTGTATATAGTTGTGGATAAAACGAAGCTACGATGCAAATAATGAGAATGATTTTTAGTAATCGAGGAATAGTTTCAGCCCTGTTTATTACATGAACCTACATGAGGTTTACTCAAACTAAAAACTGTAAGTTAAAGTTATGACTTACTGTAAACCAGGCGTTCGTTATGTGACCAAAGAATATATAAATAATCTGACCGAGCATATCAGGGACACGTTTGGGTGGAACTCATGTATTGTAGCTCGAACCACACGGTTCACGTGAATTCTGTGTTGAAGTTGTGTATTTAAAGGTGGTGTATCTTCTCCTTTTCCTGTTAGATTTTGCTCTGTATGTCAGAGATTCGTCTGGTCCCTCAACAGGCACTGTGCTAAGTGCAATGTCTGCCCATCCAAGGTACAAAACCACAACTACTGTATGTTCATTAGATTTGCTAACTCCAATTAAGGCACATGTTATACATGACTTCTGTTTTGTCTGTCTCTGCAGGACGGCAGAGAATGGAAGCACTGCTCAACATGTGAGAAATGCGTGAAACCATGTATGTAAATGTGTACAGAATCACTTACACAGATACAGTAGTAACTAACACACCACTAACAAAAGTCCTTCACATCACTATTTTACCTTTGCTGTTTCATTAAAGTGTGTATTTATTACATTTTTCCCTCCAAGCCTGGAGACACTGCCAGTCCTGTGGCCGCTGTGCTCTCCCAGACCACCCATGTGGACACGGTCAAGGAAAGGAGGGCTGCTTCAACTGCGGCAGCCTGGAGCACAAACGCAAGGCCTGCCCTCTCAAAGACACGCACAGGATCAGCAGGTGAGCTCACAGAACAGGTCCTGTCACGGGTTCAAGCTTTTCCCTGCGCCAACAAATATAGCATTCAATATTTGCATGTGTTAACTTGCTCCCCTGCGCCTGTCTTTGTCTTGCCCCCCTCCAGTCATCGGTCCAATGCCAAGAGTGGAGGTAAAAATATCTCCCGTCATCCCCTCTTCAAGCCTAAAGCTAAGAGGAAGTCTGGAGCGGCTCGCAGAGCTAAGAAGATGGCTGCTCTGTCTGTGTGAAGCTGTGCAATCTCAAGCAGAGTGTTTTAAACTCAAATGAATAAAAAGAAGTAATATAAAAAGAGAATTTCCACTATTTCTTTTTTTCATTTTAATGCATGGACACCCAAAGTTGGTACGTTTTTCTTTATGTGGCAGCCTTTCTTAATCTAATGAAAGTAACCTCCCAGTTAGTAGTATATGCATTTAGATGAAAGTAAAAAATATATTTTATATTATGACCGTATAAAGTTGTTGCAGCTGTTTTGTTAGTAAACTTGACTACTGTATTTACACATCCAGCAGACATAGCATCATTAGTATTCATTTTAGACAATGGAAAGCTCTCGAAAGAATCTAGTAAGTGGACCTTGAGAAAAGAATTCTTTTGTCAATTATTGTTATATCTCAGTGTATGTGAAGGGGCTTAAATGAGGAGGGAATTATATAATTCATCATTAAAGTTGCACCTCTGTGTAATAATAACTACAATATTCTAATCTAGCGATCGCGTCTGTCGGGGTCAAATTGATCTCTATAAGCAGATTCTAAGATTATTAGAACACTTTCTTTTTCGAACCGTTTAAATATTTTAATTGTAACAACGGTGTGAACCAGATGGTTCAGTCACGTCGCAGGACCAAGTTACACACATTAAAATACATACTTAATAAACATTAAGTTACAAACTCCATTTCACTCTATAACCTGATATATTGCAACAAAATAAATTGCCTAACTAAACAATCTCAGAGTGGCATTTCCAGGAACTTGATTCCAGACATAAGCAAACATGGAGGCAGACTGTTATCAGCTGGTTGCACTTGTGTGCTATGTTTTGCAAAGAAAGAATAATACATGATTCATGGTTTGAAGTCGGGGAACCTCCGATCCAGTCAGTGACCTTTTAAAATTGTAATAATCTGTTCTCACCAGCCTCGGATCTGGAACGCCCCCCGCGATTGTCGGGAGGGGTAAAGGGAACCCAAACTTTTCTGATTTAAGCTTGTTCCGCTGCCCAAGTGTCCAAAAATGAATAAATACTACTATAATTTGTTATAAGTGAACAAAAAAAGTTTAATAAAGCTTAGGGTCTCTTAGTTTATGCCTTGTTGGTTTTCCACACACAAAAAATCCAGTCTTGTACTGAAGTGTACAGAATATGAGCCATCAAAAAGTCTAGAAAAGCCTTAGTTAATTATAATTGATATATAACATAATCAATCTGTAATTTCCCAAATCCAGTATGAATGATTGAGGATTCTGCCCGACAGGTTTCTTTGTGTTGCACTTACAGAGCAGACTGGAGCTGTGTTCATAAGATGGGTTCCAGATGGCATTCAAAATGTCTTTAAGATTATTTATTATAACATACTAAAACTTTACCTGACCACAAGACATGAGCTGAAAACAGTGTAGTGTGGCTTCACGACTAGGAAGTGAGTTTAGCTTTGGCCACCTGATGGCACTATTGTTCTACTGTCTCTTTGTCTCCCATATTGCTTGTTTACTGGAGTTTGACAGATAACTATTATTTTGTTGGTTACTGTTTTACTGGGTGTCGTGTACATGTAGTACAGGTTGTGTTGATAATACAACAAAAATGTCAAAGTAGGCATTCAATTCCTCTAAGTGTGATATACCCACACACACGAGCACATGCTATGTTTTATAGCTTCTAGTGGAACAAGGGGTGTCTTATAAACCAGATAGATGGGTATACAGTACATCCTGCCAGAGTCATGTACTGTGTATGTTTAAGGTCATGATGGTGTCTGAACAGTGAAGGCAACCAGACACAGGAACACTCCCCCCTCACTTTGGATATATACACATACAAGAGCAATAGTGCAAACGAATAGGAGAGTTAAATGTGGTCTCTTAAACATCAGATCTCTCTCTTCTAAAGGTGTACTAGTAAATGAACTAATATCAGATTATGATATTGATTTATTTAGTCTTACTGAAACCTGGCTGGGTGATGGAGAATATGTTAGCCTAAATGAATCCACCCCTCCCAGTCATATTAATACTCACATTCCTCGAGGCACAGGCCGAGGAGGTGGAGTTGCAGTTATCTTCGACTCTAGCCTACTAATCATCTCTAAACCTAAACTTATAACTCATTTGAAAGCCTTGTTCTTAGTCTTTCACACCCAAGTTGGAAATCACTGCAACCAATTCTATTTGTTATAGTGTACCGAGCACCTGGTCCGTACTCTTATTATCACACTGCACGGCTTATGATAGAGAAATGAACATTCAATTCATGGGCAACAGCTCTGGTGGACATTCCTGCAGTCAGCATGCCAATTGCCCGCTCCCTCAAAACTGTGATGGAACTGCACATTTTGGAGTGGCCTTTTATTGTGGCCAGCCTAAGGCCTTTTATTGTGGCCAGCCTAAGGCACACCTGTGCAATACCCATGCTGTCTGATCAGCATCTTGATATGCCACACCTGTGAGGTGGATGGATTAGTGCTCAAAGATTTTGACAGATTTGTAAACAATATTTGAGAGAAACAGGCCTTTTGTGTACATAGAGAAAGTCTTAGATCTTTGAGTTTAGCTCATGATGAATGGGGGCAAAAACAAAAGTGTTGCGTTTCTAATTTTGTTCAGTGTATAAAGGGGTCTAGTAGATTACATTTAGCTGACGCTTTTATCCAAAGCCACTTACAATTGCTATACATGTCAGAGGTTGCACACCTCTGGAGCAATGAGGGGTTAAGTGTCTTGCTCAGGGACACAATGGTGGATGGTCACAGTGGGGGATTGAACCCCGGTCTCTCACACCAAAGGCAGGCATCTTATCCACTGCACCATCACCACCCCTACATCACTAGGGAAATGACAGTATTATTACTTAAGTGCGTGATGTTAATGTTATGTTGCACCTGAACAGCTGCAAAATGGAAAAGGCTACATGACTACATCTGTCAACATCGTAGGCATTGGTCAGCCCTCACATGTAAAGAGGGCGGATCTATCAGTGCCAGCCAATGGCATGGAAGCATCAGTCAACATTATCGTCATTTCACAAAAAATGTTAGCAAGACATAATAGGTTAAGATGCGATAACTTGCATCATTGGATAGTTATCTTCCACCATAATACACAGTACAGAAAGAATGGAGACTTCTATTGTTTTGATTCTAATATAGTTCACATCCACATCAGCTGAGGAGAGTAGAATTCAGTGCCCTTTTTACATGTTTAGTCCTCAGGTTCAGATAATTGGCCCTGGGTGGTCACCCAAATAAATATTGGGCCCCCTAAACCCAAACATTCCTCCTCTGCCTCCTCTATCATATGGGTGAAGTAAATAGCACAGAGGCAGCCAAACCAATGCTTACTTTAGATAGTTTTTTTTACCTTGTCTCTGGAACATTCTAGTACCTCTCTAGAGCAGATAAGCTACTCAGAGCCGGAAATTTAGGGAGGCCATTGGCGCCATGACCCCTGAGTTTGGCCTTATGCCCCTCAAAAATCTGCCCTGGGGTCAACAGTGGACTTAATGCTCCGCCCGCACTGCCCCAGCTGATTTAGCCATTTTCACCTCTGCCTCTTTCTTGGTTTTAGACAAAAGTGTCTATTGATGAGATTCAGAATTCTTATTGGGCCACAGAAAGTGAAACGTTGCGCATATATAGTAGGATTGATTTAGAGCCTGGTGTGAACCACTGGAAAATCGGGCTATTTATGATGATAGTTTGACACATTATCTACCATCTGGCACCGACCAACCAGGACACTTAATGGAAGCCATCCCAATGTGCCAATGCCACAAAGCTGTGACTGAGTGAAGGGAAGATTTACTGAGGGGAGGTAAGAACATCTGGTAAATTAGCAAAATAAAACAAGAAACCATAGTCGGACTGGCAATTGGGAGCACCGGGAGCAATCCCAACGGGCCGGTCGCTCTGTGGGCTGCTTATACAGAAGCAACCAGACAGGTTGTCGGCAAACTTTGATTCTCCACCAGTCCTCCTCAAGATCCTCAGAACCATTTCAGCTGTTAGTCCAGGTTCTGCAGCTGAAGGGGTAAGACAGAAGACTGCAGGGATAAGATAAGCCAGCTTTGAGTTTGGCTGCCCATTTACCTATAATATTGACCAATCACAGCCTGGATGGGACATTAAAAAAAGGTGGATGCGTTACTGCAAACTTCCAAATGCTGTCATCATCCCTAACCCCTTCCCCCTAAAATGATGAAACTCCAGGCCTAATGTTGCTTGAAGTGTAAACAGGCACTGTTTTACTAACATGTTCGTCATAACAACCTTATAAGGTGATTGCATGTCAATGCTGAGTTTTCAGCCTGTTCCACTACCCATTAGTGGCAAAAACAAATCAGTCAATGCAGCTTTAACAGCAGTATTATAATACACTGGCTAAGGAACTGAAGTTACTAAAGTCATCAAATTATGACACCTTCTTGAAACATCATTCCCCAAGTTTTGGTGAAATTGAGGAAAAAAACACCAAGGGAGACAAAAATAAGAAATCAGGATGGAAACAAAAGCAGGGAATTCAGAAAGGGTGAGAGGCCAGCAGAGCGTTTAAAGAAGCTGAGCACTGGTGTGTGATTCAAATGCTAAGTAGGCTGGGAAAGATCTATATCTGTCAGCCTTCCTCTCTATGAAATGGAAATGAGCTTGGACAGATGGAAAATAGAGGGAAAAAATTATTATTCAATATAAAATAGAATGTGGAAGAACGGAGCTTTTTCTGCTCCATTGGATTTTATATTCACACATCAAAACAGTAGACAAAAGTGAAGGGAATAATGCAGGTGTGTGGAATGGAAAGAGAAAGGGCAGGGGTGGTGCTTATAGAGATGAAGAGACTAGAATACACACAACCAGTTCTATCCTTTCTTTTTAACATAATCCTACCAATTAATACTCAATATAATACATTTCAAACAGAAATGAAATTTCCCAAACACAGTCTGCAGCCAGGGGCTCTTTACCCCGTTCACCATGTTAGTTTTTGGTGTTGGCATGAGAAAGTTGTGGACATAGTGAATAGGTCAGTATGATCAGTCAGTATTATTCAGCATCTGGGGACCATGAATATCTG